CCTGCCGGCGTGCGGGGGGCGGGGCCTGCCGGCGTGCGGGGGGCGGGGCCTGCCGGCGTGCGGGGGGCGGGGCCTGCCGGCGTGCGGGGGGCGGGGCCTGCCGGCGTGCGGGGGGCGGGGCCTGCCGGCGTGCGGGGGGCGGGGCCTGCCGGCGTGCGGGGGGCGGGGCCTGCCGGCGTGCGGGGGGCGGGGCCTGCCGGCGTGCGGGGGGCGGGCCCGCGGAGGGCTGGGTTCTGCTCCGAGCCCTGCCCCTGCGAGGTCTGACCCAGGTTCAGGTGCTGGGCGAGAGGGGCGTGACACGACCAGGCACCCCCAACCCACACCCGTCTCCCAGTCCCCGCGCCCGCCCCGGTTCCCCCCTACTTCTCTCACTCATCCCTGTCCCAGCCTCGAGGGGCTTCGTCTCCATGGGGGAAGGGGCTGTTCAGAGCTGGGATTTCAGACCCCCTTCTGCTGGCTGGGAGTTCCTCCCATGGCCTCCAAGGGCGGCCAGGGCACGTCCTGAGGCCGCCCTCCCATCCCAGCGGACATCTACGACAAAGTGTCGGGTGACATGCAGAAGCAAGGCTGTGACTGTGAGTGTCTGGGCGGCGGGCGCATCTCCCACCAGAGCCAGGACAAGAAGATTCACGTGTACGGCTACTCCATGGTGAGCCGCAGCCCCGTCCCGCCCGCGGGAGGCCACAGTACCAGCCTGGAGGCCCACCTGAGCCTGCTGCCCTGACCCCTGGCCCCAGCTGAGCACCCAGGTTTCCCGGGGTTCTCCGAGGGTGGGCGGCAGAGCCCTCCCTCTCAGCCGGATGTGTTCTCACATTCCCCCATGGAGCACAGGCCAGACCTGAGGGGCGAGGAAGGCCCCCAGACATGGCCTGCCTTCCACTCTCCATCCCCTCTCCCTGCGCGGAGAGGCCTGGCTGGGCTCTCACTGTCCTCCAGAACTTTGGGTCCTGGACCCCAGAGATGGTCAGTACCCAGGTGGAGCTGAGTCCCCACCTGCGCTCTCACCAGAACCACCAGCAGGTGAGATCCCCATGTGCTCCCCAGGGTGCCTGAGGCGCAAGGATCTGCCATCAAGGTCTGCTCGCCTGTAGAGGCCGCCTCTCCCCAGGGGAGCCCCCAGGGGAGGTCAGGATGGTGGGTTCGGCTCCACTCTGGGGTCCCCAGGCACTGTCTGTCCCCTTTCCATACTTGCTCCTGCTGTGGCTGGTGGCTTGATGCCCAGAGCCAGGGCACGTGGGTGGAAGGGTCCAGGGTATCTTCTCTCTCCAGGCCTATGGTCCTGCCCAGCACTCCATTTCCACTGAGAAAATCAAAGCCAAGTACCCCGACTACGAGGTCACCTGGGCTAACGACGGCTACTGAGCACCCCCAGCCCCTGGCCTGCCGCCTCTGGCAGCCACTCTGGAGCCCCTGCCTTTGCCTGTCCCCATCGTGCAGGGCCGACCCTGCCCACTACTGCCACAGCCCCTGGTGATGTGCCACCTGCCAGGCCTCAGAGACAGAATTAAATGTATTGCCACACCTGCCGGTCTCTGGACTTTGTCCTTGGCTTCCTTGCCCTGGGTCACCACCTCCAGGGGCCCCCAGACCCTGCCTAAAGAAGTGGCCCCAGGGAGTGGCCTGCACACTCAGCCTTTTGGGGTCTGATAAGGGGGCCCCCTGACGGCCTGATTGCTCTTCACTGGGCCACCGCCCCCCAGGGCATCTTGGAGGAGGCCCAGTCGGCCCCTGAGCAAGGACGCAGGGCCTGGTCCCTTGGGCCAGCCAAGACCTGGGGCGCACACCAGTGCCTCCTCCCTTGGGCCCATCCCAGGGCTCCCAGTGCCCTGTCTGCCCTGAGGCCCGGCCTGCAGGCTCCTTCGTGACCAGCCCTGTGGGGCCTGCTAGTATCAAGGGTCAGGTACCCTGCAGGTTCATGCTGACTCTGGGGCCCCTCCCAGGTCCCTCCTGCTCCTGGCAGGGCTGTGGGCAGGCCATGGGTTCAGGCCCTGCCCTGGGGAGTCCCATACACAGTGAGACTCTGTGGGGTGCTACAGGGGCATCCCGGGGGCTAGGACTGGCTGTGCACAGGGCACCCCTGACTGGCAGGCAGCCCCGCTCGCAGGTGGGCTCACTGGTCCTCCAGGCAGCCTCTCTAGGTGGGCATTATCGTGACCACGTTTTACAGACCGGGATGCTGAGGCTCAGTGACACCAGCTCTGAGTTCACACTGTGGGAAATCAAATTTCCTGGGTGATTTGGCTGGGTCCAAATGCCACCCTCCTTCCCCAGTCCCAAAGAGCCCTGAGGGGCCCTGTGCCTGTCACCGGACAGCACCTGGCTGCTCAGGACGAATGGGTGCTGGGTGCTCCTCCGCAGCCTGACTTACAGGCAGCTCCCCCGAGGCTGAGAGCGCAGCGGCTGGCTCTGGTGCACACGCTGGGCACTGGACTCCCGCAGCTGGTGGACTGGTTGAGTCCTGGCCTTGGCCAGCACCAGGCTAGTGCCAGAGGCATAGCCAGAGGCCACGGCTGCCCGTGCCCCCCACCCCACACTGCCTTACAGAGTCCTGGTGGGGTGCCTGGGTCCCTCCCCATTCCAGTGTAAGCCCTCCACTCCACCAGGCAAGGAAGGGCAGGGTGAAGGGCCTGACCTTCAGTCTGAGGGAGCCGGGCAGGTGGGAGCTGACCCTGGGTCGGGGGCCCTCTCCTGGGGCCGCTTCCACGGCCCACGCTTGGCACTGTCAGCACTGGGTGGAGCCAGGCCAAGGGGCCCTCCACTTAATCGCGTAGGGCCAGCGCAGGCTGGAACCACACAGAGCTCCCTGTGCACCCCACGCGGCTGTACTGGCCCTGCTTCCTCTGACCCAGCCATGCCTCTGCCCGGCCACCTGCTGCCCATCCTGGTCCTGTTCCTGGGTAAGTCATCCGATCCCACTCCTGAAGCAGGACCGGGGGCTCTGGCTTCTGAGCCTGCCATCTGGGCAGCAGTGATGATGCCCGAGCCCCAGAGGGAAGGAGGACTGCAGAGCTGACCTGGCATCAGCCCATGGGGCCCTCGGGCCTGCCGAGCAAAGGAAGAGGCAAGACTCCCCTCCCAGTATGGGACGAGAGGGCTCAGGAGGTGCCCCTAGCTCTGCCACGCTTGGACTGGGTGGAGCCTGTGGAGGGCCCTGGGCCACCCACCAATGCCTCCCACTGGAGGACCTTCCCAGTGCCCAGTTCCCAGCTGGGCACACTGGGATCCTGCTGCCTTTCTGGGGGTGCCCCATGGCAGGGTCCTCATCCCCACGCACGCCCAGGCCCTTCGCCCATCTCTTCAGGGCTGGAAACAGGAATGCGCTCCGCTTGGTCCTGGCGTAGAGCCGGGTGGGAGTCCTCTGTGGGTCCTGGCTCCTCCCTGCCCCATTTTCTGGTCTGAGGGGCTTCCCTGGGCAAAGGACGTCCAATGCTAAAACTGGACAGTCTGAGGCAGAGTGGGATGCTGGTCACCCTGCCCCCAGGCCACCTGGCTGTCACCCTCCCAGCAGCAGGGTCCCCGGGCTGGGCCTGGGTCCCCAACCATTGCAGGAGCCCCAGCCAGGCTGTGTGCAACTTCGTGTGTGACTGCGGGGACTGCTCCGATGAGGCCCAGTGTGGTGAGCCAGGGCCGGACAGGCGGGCAGGGCCCGTGTGAGCATGGCCGGCACATGTCTGACCATCCACTCTCCCAGGTTACCACGGGGCCTCGCCCGCCCCGGGCACCCCCTTCACCTGCGACTTTGAGCGGGACCCCTGCGGCTGGCGGGACATCAGCACCTCGGGCTACAGCTGGCTCCGAGACAGGGCGGGGGCTGCGCTGGAGGGTCCCGGGCCTCGCTCAGACCACACGCTGGGCACCGACCTGGGTGAGGCCAGGGCGAGTCTCTGCGCGCCCCTGCCCCACCGCCCTCCTTGCTTCCTGCCCCATCTCCTGACCTCTCACCTGGGCCAGGATGGTACATGGCTGTCGGAACCCACCAAGGGAGAGAGGCAGCCACTGCAGCCCTGCGCTCGCCCACCCTGCGAGAGGCAGCCCCCTCCTGCAAGCTGAGGCTCTGGTACCACATGGCCTCTGGAGGTGCGCCCTGAACCCCCAAGGCCTGTGGGGGGTGCCCAAGGGGAGGGCAGGTGGCTCCAGGAGAGGCAGGGCAGCTGAGGAGGGGCAGGGCTGCAGCTGCCTGGGACCCCTGACACTGCAGATGCGGCTGAGCTGCGGCTGGAGCTGACCCATGGCGCAGAGACCCTGACCCTGTGGCAGAGCACAGGGTCCTGGGGCCCCGGCTGGCAGGAGTTGGCAGTGACCACAGGCCGCATCCAGGGTGACTTCCGAGTGAGCTGGGGGGGTCTGGACGATTGGGGGCCTTGGGGGTGTCTGGGCCTTGACTTAGGTCCTGAGAGCTCCTATTCTCTTCAGGTGACCTTTTCTGTCACCCGAAACGCTACCCACAGGGGCGCCGTGGCTCTAGATGACCTGGAGTTCTGGGACTGTTGGCTGCCCAGTAAGGCACCGCCTCTTCCTGTCCCACCCTGGGAGGGCCCCACCTGCCCCTGCCCCCCTCAGACCTTGTCTGCCCCCGAGTGCCCTCCCACTCCGGGGCCTCCATGAAGGGTTAACCCTGCTCCACCCAGCCCCCCAGGCCAGCTGCCCCCTGGGACACCACCACTGCCAGAACAAGGCCTGCGTGGAGCCCCAGCAACTCTGCGACGGGGAAGACAACTGTGGGGACCTGTCTGATGAGGACCCACGCACCTGTGGTGAGGCCAGGGTGGGGCCCAGAGTGAGACCAGGTGATCGGATGCCTTGGTGGGGGCCCTGGCACTCATCGGGGAGTGGGCACCTTGGATCCTTGGATGGTCCTTCTTGGGGCCACCCTGGAGCTGGGAAGCACTGCCTGGTGGCTCTGACAGCCCCACTTCCCGTCCCAGGCCAGCACACGGTCACCGACTTTGAGACAGGCCTGGGCCTATGGAGCCGCTCAGAAGGCTGGGCCCGGAACCACAGCGCTGGCGGTCGCGAGCACCCCGCCTGGCCGTGCCGTGACCACAGCCGGAACAGTGCGCAGGGTGAGGCCCACAGGGGACCCAGCCCGGGCCCCATCCCCTGGCCACAGCCCGGTGGCCCCAGCTCACGCCCGCCTTTTCCCGCAGGCTACTTCCTGGTCTCCGTGGCCGAGCCTGGCAATCCTGCTGTGCTCTCCAGCCCCGAGCTCCAAGCCTCAGGCGCCTCCAGCTGCTCGGTGAGACGGTGGGGCGGGTGGAGGGGGGTGTCACAGGGTCTCCGTGCTGGCTGCTCGGGTGCAGGGGCCCCCAATCAGCTCTTGGCTCCACAGCTGGTCTTCTATTACTACCTGCACGGGTCCGAGGCCGGCTGCCTCCAGCTGTTCCTGCAGACTCTGGGGTCCAGCACCCCCCAGGCCCCGGTCCTTCTGCGGAGGCGCCGAGGGGAGCTGGGGACCGCCTGGGTCCGAGACCGCATTGACATCCAGAGTGCCCACCCCTTCCAGGTGAGGAACGGCAAGAGGGTGGGGTCTGGAGAGCTGCGCTGTGGGCAGGGGCGGGGAGCCCACAGGGTGCCCCCTGTGGGTGGACAGGGAGCAGCCCCCAGGGGGAGTAGGCTGAGTACCCGGAGCCCTTCTGTCCTCAGATCCTCCTGACCGGGCAGACAGGCCCGGGGGGTGTGGTGGGCCTGGACGACCTCATCCTGTCTGAACACTGCAGACCAGTCCCGGGTGAGCCTGCTGACCCCTGCTGACCCTGCCCTGCCTTGCATAGCACTCCCCACCCCCGCCGCCTGACCCAAGCTCTGCCCCCACAGAGGTGTCCACCCCACAGCCGCTACCTCCTGGGCCCTGGGCCCCAGCCCCCGGGCCCCTGCCGCCCAGCTCTCGGCTCCAGGACTTCTGCCAGCAGGGCCATCTCGCCTGTGGGGACCTGTGTGTGCCCCCGGAACAGCTGTGTGACTTCCAGCAGCAGTGTGCAGGGGCCGAGGACGAGCAGGCCTGTGGTAAAGGGGCTCAGCATCCTGCAGACCTCCTGCTGCAGGCCAAACGGGCAGGGACGGGCGTGGGGTGGGTGGAGGTCTCTGCCGTTTAGTGCCGCCTGCTGTTCCAGGAACCACGGACTTCGAGTCCCCCGAAGCTGGGGGCTGGGAAGATGCCAGCGTGGGGCGGCTGCAGTGGCAGCGGCTCTCAGCCCAGGAGAGTCAGGGAGCCGGTGCAGCTGCTACTGGTGAGGCCTACGTACCCAAGCCCCGCCTGGGGGCCACGGCTCACCTGTGAGCAGCATCCTCAGAGGGATCTCTGCTCTGGCCCTGCACTACAGAGGGTCTCTGGATTGGGGGTCCCTGAGGAAAAGAGTGGGGCCCTGGCAGGAATGCGGCTCTGAGCACCTCCCTCCTCCCCTAGGTCACTTCCTGTCTCTGCAAAGGGCCTGGGGGCAGCTGGGTGCGGAGGCCCGGGTCCTTACACCTCTGCTTGGCCCCTCTGGCCCCAGCTGTGAACTCCACTTGGCTTACCATCTGCAGAGTCAGCCCCAAGGTACCGCTGCCCTCCACGAGCTCCCCTGCCAGCTCCTGGGTGCTCCCTGCACAATGGGAGGGGTCTGGGGCCGCCTGACCCACAGTGTCCCCTGCCCTGCTGGCCAGGCTTCCTGGCACTAGTGGTGGTGGACAGCGGGTCCCGGGAGCTGGCATGGCAGGCCCTGAGCAGCAGTGCAGGTGGCTGGAAGGTGGACAAGGTCCTTCTAGGGGCCCGCCGCCGGCCGTTCCGGGTGAGGAGGGCAGCCCAGAGCGGGGGTCCACGGGCGCGGACCCTGACTTAACCATCCTCTTCCTCATCCCCCTTCCCCATGAAGCTGGAGTTTGTCGGTCTGGTGGACTTGGACAGCCCTTACCAGCAGGGAGCTGGTGTGGACAACGTGACCCTGAGGGACTGTAGCCCCATGGTGACCACCAAGAGAGACAGAGGTCCCTCCTGCCCATCCCCCTTCTCACCCGGGCACTCCCCCTAGACCACCTCCAGGGACCCCAGAGCTGCCATGTCAGGGCTCTGGAGGGTGCCGGGGGTTGTGTGTGACGCCACCTGGCCCCGCCCCTAGAGGTCTCCTGTAACTTTGAGCGGGACACGTGCAGCTGGTACCCGGGCCACCTCTCAGACGCACACTGGCACAGGGTGGAGAGCCGTGGCCCTGAGCACGACCACACCACAGGCCAAGGTAGGACGGGCCACTAAGACGGTGGCTTTCAGAGGAGAGTGGGGCATCTCTACAGCTCAGCCTTGTCCCCTGTGTCCCCTGCAGGCTACTTCATGCTCCTGGACCCCACAGACCCCCTGGCCCGGGGCCACAGCGCACACCTGCTCTCCAGGCCCCAGGTGCCAGCAGCGCCCACGGAGTGTCTCAGCTTCTGGTACCACCTCCACGGGCCCCAGATTGGTGAGTGGGCCTGGGAGCAGGGCAGGGCCTGTGGGGAGGCCCCCAGGGGTTCAGTTTCCCCTCTGACACCCATGAGGCTCAGGAGAGAGATCGGTTATGGATTGGTCCCCTCCTGGCAGGAACCCTGCGCCTGGCCATGAGACGGGAAGGGGAGGACACGCACCTCTGGTCACGGTCGGGCACCCATGGCAACCGCTGGCACCAGGCCTGGGCCACCCTCTCCCACCAGCCTGGCTCCCGGGCCCCGTACGAGGTGAGGCCTGGTGCCCAGGTGGGAGGACAGGGCAGACCCCCAGCCGGCTGACACCCTCCACCCCCAGCTGCTGTTTGAGGGCCTCCGGGACGGATACCACGGCACCATGGCGCTAGACGACGTGGCCATGCGGCCTGGCCCCTGCTGGGCCCCTGATTACTGCTCCTTTGAGGACTCGGACTGTGGTTTCTCCCCTGGAGGTCAGAGTCTCTGGAGACGCCAGACCAATGCCTCAGGCCATGCTGCCTGGGGCCCCCCAGCAGACCACACCACAGAGACGGCCCAAGGTACGGGGACCTGGCAGGGGCAGGGATCGAGGGGCTGGCCAGGGGCTGGCAGGCTGATGCTGGCACCTCCAGGGCACTACATGGTGGTGGACACGAGCCCAGACGCACTGCCCCGGGGCCAGACGGCCTCCCTGACCTCCAGGGAGCACAGGCCCCTGGCCCAGCCTGCTTGCCTGACCTTCTGGTACCATGGGAGCCTCTTCAGCCCAGGTGAGGGGCTCTGGGAGGGGGCCCCAGGGGTTCAGGGAAGCTTGGCCTGGTGTCCCCACCAGCCTTCTGCTAAGACCACTGGGGAGCCTCTTGCACCCGCCAGACCAGGGAGCCCGGGAGCTCAGGGCCAGGGCATGCAGGCACTCTCCCACACTGCTCACCTGGGCTGCCCCTGCTGGCAGGCGCCCTGCAGGTCCACCTGGAGGAGGGCAGGAGGCACCAGGTGCTCAGCCTCAGTGCCCACGAAGGGCTTGCCTGGCGCCTGGGCAGCGTGGACGTGCAGGCTGAGCAAGCCTGGAGGGTGAGTACTAGCTGGGGTGCCCCTCTCCCTCCCCCACCCGAGGACTGCCTGGACCCGCTGAGGCTGCCTTGCCTGCGCCCGCCAGGTGGTGTTTGAGGCAGTGGGCACAGGCGTGGCACACTCCTACGTGGCTGTGGATGACCTGCTCCTCCAGGATGGGCCCTGCCCTCAGCCAGGTGGGAGCCCTGCTGTGGCCCACAGTGGCCCCTGCTCTGGGGCCTGCCTGTCCCTTCTGTCCCCACAGTGGTGGTGGCCAGGGCTTGGGCCAAGGGCAGCACCACTCACCCAGCCATGCCTTGCAGGTTCCTGTGATTTTGAGTCTGGCCTGTGTGGCTGGAACCACCTGGCGCGGCCCGGCCTGGGTGGGTACAGCTGGGACTGGGGCGGGGGAGCTGCACCCTCTCGCTACCTCCAGCCCCCAGTGGACCACACCCTGGGCACAGAGGCAGGTACGTTTTGCTGGAGCCAGGTGAGGAGGGGACCCAGAAGCCAGACACAGCCACCCGGCCTCCTGCTGCCCACCCACAGGGCACTCTCCCCATCCAGCCTCTGCTTGGGCCGAGGGCTGGCTCTGCCCATCAGCTGGGCATCAGCCTCCTCTTGTTTCCAGGCCACTTTGCTTTCTTTGAAACTGGCGTGCTGGGCCCTGGGGGCCAGGCCGCCTGGCTTCGAAGCGAGCCTCTACCGGCCACCCCTGTCTCCTGCCTCCGATTCTGGTACCACATGGGCTTTCCTGAGCACTTCTGTGAGTCTGGCTGGGCAATGGGTGCCCGGGCAGTGGGGCAGCAGGGGTCCAGGAGCAGAGGTTGGGAAGGGGCCTCCCCACCCCACCCCCAGTGAGGTGTGCAGGTGTCCTGGGACCCCAGGCCTGACGCGCCCTGGCCCTGCTCTCAGACAAGGGGGAGCTGAGGGTGCTGCTACACAGTGCCCAGGGCCAGCTGGCAGTGTGGGGCGCAGGCGGGCACCGTCGGCACCAGTGGCTGGAGGCCCAGGTGGAGGTGGCCAGCGCCAAGGAGTTCCAGGTAAGGCCACCTGTCTGGGCCAGGAGCCTCCCCCTCTTCCCCCCAGGACCTACACAGACGCCTTTCCTTCTCCGTCAGATCGTGTTTGAAGCCACTCTGGGTGGCCAGCCAGCCCTGGGGCCCATTGGCCTGGACGACGTGGAGTATCTGGCAGGGCAGCATTGCCAGGAGCCTGCCCCCAGCCCGGGTGAGCCCTGGGCTGCAATGGAGGCACTGGGGAGGGCCTGGGGGGCCAGCCTGGCACAGGGTTTGCTAGGCTTGCCAGTGTGTGGCCCTAGGAGCTTCGAGCACGCTGCACCCAGCCCATCCCCACTCCCACTCTCTGCCCCAGTCACCCTGGGGCCACTGCCTGGGCTGCGCTGTCCCTGGGCTGCCTTCTCTGTGCCTACACCCAAGACAGGGTCTCTCTTGGAGGAGCCGCTAGCCAGGTCAGAGCAGTCACTGATTGACTGCTCTCACTGGGCGAAGGCAAGGATCTCACCTGGGGCCGTAAGCCCCGCCAAGTCTTTGGACAGCAGCTGCCTGCAGACCAGTCCCCATCCTTGTGCTGGCAAAACCAATCCCCGCTGTCTCTGAAAAGGATGAACCCCAGGAGCCAGCAGAGGCTGATGGGATCAGGCAGCCCCAGGCTTGCTCCTCAGCCTCAGACATGGGGGGCTGCTTTAGAGAACACAAGTTCCCGGGCTCACTCATCCCCACCACCCACAGGGGACACAGCCATGCCTGTGCCAGTGCCAGCTGTGGTTGGTGGTGCCCTCCTGTTCCTCATGTTCCTGGTGCTGCTGGGACTTGGGGGGCGGCGCTGGCTGCAGAAGAGGGGGAGCTGCCCCTTCCAGAGCAGCACAGAGGCCACAGCCCCCAGCTTTGACAACATCCTTTTCAATGCAGTAGGAGCACCCTGGGGATGGGTGGGCAGGAGCCCCTGCTCAGTTGTGACCCTGGAGGGCGGGCAGTGGTGGGACACAACCCCCGAGGAAGGAGCGCCCATCTGTGCAGGGCCCATCCTTGCCCTCCCTGCCCAGCCTCTCCAGCCACCGTCAAAGCTCCTCCTCCTCCTCCTCGTCCTCCTAGGATGGCGTCACCCTCCCAGCATCTGTCACCAGCGATCTGTAGACCACCCCGAACAAGGCCACGGTTCCTCACGTGACATCCAGCACTTGGTCAGACCCCGGCTGGGGACTGGACACCTGCCCCTGCCCAGACTGGGCCCGGCTGCAGGTCTCAGGGCACGCTGAGGCCTGGGCGTCCCTTACCCTGTGCTGAGTCTGTTCCCATGTGAATAAACACCCCGGCCCGTGAGGGCAGCCCGAGCTCCCAGGCTGAAGTCAGTGTGTCCACACTTTACCCGCCAGCAAGGGTGGGGGCTGCAGTGTACCTAGAAGTGATGTTCCCAGCAATGTGCTAGGGGCGCCTGCTTACTTCTGTATGCAGCTCAGGAAACAAGAGACAAGAGGACCCTCTCCCACCAGGACATAGACCCACCTAGGACAAAGGCTGGGGTCCAGCCAGCTAGAGGCTCTGCCTACTGAGGACAATGGTGAAACTGACCCATAGGCTCAGGGACCAGCAGAGGAGATGATCCTTAGGGCAAAGGGTGCACGGAGCAGGCCTGGATGGGAGAAGTGCCCTGGACGGGCCCACTATCTGCAGTACAGGCCTGAGCTGCCCCAGGGCTGCGGGTCACAGTGCCCAGGTCACCGGGTGCCCCAGGGCTGCGGGTCACAGTGCCCAGGTCACCGGGTGCCCCAGGGCTGCGGGTCACAGTGCCCAGGTCACCGGGTGCCCCAGGGCTGCGGCCGAACCCTTCCCTTTGGCCCCCGTGCCTGAGCAGGAGGTTGTCCCTGTGAAGCTGTGACTAATCCGGGGCGCCAGCAGAGGACTACCATCCTGAAGCAGGGTCAACATCACTAACCTCAGTCAGCTCGCAGAGCTCTGGTCCTCCACATGGGTGACCCGGGCACAGCCCCGTGGGTAGGACCTGGTCTTGTGGCCTCTCAGGCCTGGCTGTGGGTGGCTGTCCCCACGGAGTGGGGGGAGGGTGGCAACTCCAGAGCTGTGCAGCCAGGCTCCCCTCCTGCCCACAGGAAAGCCCCACCCTGCCTCATGGACACACATCTGCCCCAGGAGCCGGGCGGTGCTACAGGGCACAGCATAGCACCCTCGCCAGCCACTGGGCTCCCGTCTGCCCTGGGGACTAAGTCCTAGCAGAAAGTGGCGGTCAGCCATGCCTACAGTTGTCCCTCGTCTTCAGGTGCTGTGGGGCTGACCAGTGCCCGCTACCTGTCCACACAGATGTGCAAAGAGAAAATGACCCTGTAGAGACCTTGAGAGCCCTCTGGCACCCCACTACCAGGCACCAGTCATGACAATTCACTGGCCTTCCCTATAACTAGGGGCCTGGGAGCTGAGAGCAGGACCGTATGACCTGCCTGGGCGCCAAGGGCAGCAACTTCTCCCAGTTTCTCTTTAGAGCCGAATCCCGTGGCCCCGCTTCCCTTCCTTCTGCGCCTCGGGCCCCCACCCCCCACCTGCATGTAAAGAGGTGCTCAGAGCTCCCCGAGGCTCCTGAGCCACAACTGCTACTAGGCAGACACCCTACTACTAGGCAGGACAGACAGGAAGACCGAGTTCTGCACCCCGATCTGAGGAACGTGCCGCAGATAGAAAAAGTCAGCAGAAGCCAACGCTTTGCAAGGTTTTGTTTGTTTGACAGCAGGAATGGGCTGGGGAGGCCCCCAAAAGCTGGACCCCTTGTTCCGCTCGGCCCGTGAGGAGACCCACGGCGGTGCTGGCGGCCAAGGGGAACCCGCGGAACGAGATCAGCTGGAGCGCACTGATTTCGAGGCTTTGTGTTCATTTCGCCCTAGGCCCCTTCTCGATGGGCTTTCCAATGTCCTTCCCCCGGAGCTTGAGGCCTGAAACGAGCCACAACCACTGGCCACTGCAGCGCCAACACCCTCCTGCCCCCACGCCGCCCCTCTTCAACACCTGCTGGGAAGGAGGGCCACGCCACCCCCGTTCCCCCCGGGGCTCTCAGCACAGGAGCACTCCTGGGCCTCACATCTAATCTTTAAGAGGATGAGTCTCATCATCCTTGACAGAACACGAGACCCTTCTCCGGAAGAACCAGAGTCCTCTGCAGAACTGGCTTCCAGCCCCACATGCCAGGGCCCGGCCCCACTGTGCTCAGGCTCAGAAAGCCCTGCCAGCTGCACAGGCTGAAGGGACTGGCTGGGACGCCACTTGCTCTTGGGGAGTTTCTGAGGCCTGCAGAGCCCCCACTATTCCTTAGTCTGTACTGCCTGGAGAAGCAAAGCTCCAGAATCCAGACAACAAGGGACCCCAGGGCCGTGTTAAACCCCTGAGCCTGGCTCTCACCAACCCCAGCTGGGAGCGGGTGGCCTCCCTGCCCAGGCCGAGGAGTGGAGGGACACTCACCGATGGCCCGCTCGATTTTGCCCAGCACCTGGTTATTGGGGATGGCCCGTCCACTCTCATAGTCCGCGATCACCTGTGGCTTCTCATTGATTTTCTAAAGAGAAGATGTGCTTTATACACACCCGCTCCACTAGGACGTGCTGTGAACCAGGTGGGACACCCCGCAGTGCACCACCTCCCAGAAGCGTCACCCGAGAACAACCACTTCTGGGGCCCCTGGGGTGCACAGCCACATGCAGCCGGGTCTCCGTGAGAGCCCGGCAGACCTGCTTGCCAAGACACTCCCTAAAGGAGCATCAGGCGGGTGGAGTCCACACTCCGAGTGCTGTCTGAGCGCTGGCCGCCCCCTCCCCAAGCCGACAGCCCCGGGAGGATGAGGGCCAGCGCAGGCTCACCGTGGCCAGGTCCTTCTGCGTGAGCCCCTTGCTCTGCCGGCCCTGCTGGATCACCTTGCCCACCTCCAGGGTCACCCTGTCATGGTGCAGCTCCTCCGTCTCCCGGTCCAGCTTGGCTGTGTTCTTGGTGATAGAATGCTGTTTGTTCTGGCCAGCAGCCCCTGGAGTCAGTGTGAGGCAAGAGCAGAGAAGAGGGTTTGGAATTAGCCTGAAAAAAAAACAATTTCAGAGTGGTAACCAAACCCCAGAGGCTGCCTGAGCTCAAGGGGACATGGGAAACCAGACTGTCCAACGTTCACAGACCTCAGGGCATGGACTTCCAGAGTTTTCTCTCAGTTATGGGGACAGGCAGCTGCACGCGTGCCAACCAGAGCTGCTCTGGGAAGATCACTGCCTCCCAGGGCTCCGGCCAGCATCGGTGCAGGCAGGCGTGCAGCTGACAACGTTCCTGGGGGTGCCGCCCACACCACACACACCGGCACACGGACCCCAAGGCACAGCCTCGTTGTCAAGGCAGAAACACAAGCACCTACATTTCTTGGAAGTCTCTACATCTTCTCCTCGTCTCTGTGCTGCTAAGATAGCCTAGAAAAAGGGAAAACATTAGTTGGTCAAAACGAACTTCGGCAGTGTCCAGCACACACCAATTCAGGCCAGCTTTTAGCCAGTTGGCACGCTGCTGAGGACTAGTGGTGCCCAGGGACTGACACGCAGTGCTGCGTTCAATTACCCAAGCTCAACTAGGTACTGTGGCTCACGCCTGTAATGCCAGCACTTTGGTAAACCGAAATAGGACGATCACTTGAGGCCACGAGTTCAAGACCAGCCTGGGCAACACAACAAGATCCTGCCTCGACAAAAAAATAAAAATAAATTGCCAGGCATCCTGGTGCAAGGCTGTAGTCCCAGCTGATAGGTAGGGTACGGCAGGAGGATCACATGAGCCCAGGAGTTTGAGGCTGTGGCATACTATAATGCCACTGCACTCCAGCCTGGGTGACAGAGTGAGACACTCTCTAAGTATAACAAAACCCCAAACTCATTATACAAAACCCTCTACAATCAAACATCCAAGAAACTCACAATACGCTGCTACTAAGAGAACATCACTTCCTTTGCTGTGAGAAACAAACTCTAAGGGCTTTTTTGGTTTTTTTTTTTGAAACAGAGTCTCGCTCCATCGCCAGGCTGGAGTGCAGTGGCACAATCTCGGCTCATAGCAACTTCCGCCTCCCGGGTTCAAGCAATTCTGCTGCGTCAGCCTCCCTAGTAGCTGGGACTACAGACGCACGCCACCACGCCCAGCTAAATTTTGTATTTTTAGTAGAGACGGGGTTTCACCATGTTGGCCATGATGGTCTCGATCTCTTGACCTCGTGATCCGCCCACCTCGGCCTCCCAAAGTGCTGGGATGACAGGCATGAGCCACCGTGCCCGGCCTAAGAGCTTTTTTTTTTTTTTTTAGAGTCGTGGTCATGCTATGTGGACCAGGCTGGTCTGGAACTCCTGGGCTCAAGTGATTCTCTGGCCTCAGCCTCCCTCCTGAATAGCAGGTATGCGCTAGTGGGTTCTTTTTGAGAAATCATATTCAGCATAGATTTACTTTCTGCTGGACTTCACTGCAAAAGCAGGAAGGAACGCCAAATGCTGGCCTGGTGCTGCCTTCCTCCCCAACTCTGGCTCCTAGTAACAAAGAAATGACACATCGCGTGGAAGCCTGCAGGCTCCTCAGAAACATCAGCAGTAATGGTGATGCCATTGGACCTGCAGTCACTGAATATTAACATCATGCATTTCTGGACATTTTTAACACTTCAGAGACGTGACTTGTGGGGCATCCTAACTGTAATGTGTTCACAGACACAACTGTTTCCATGACTCCGAGCTTGTGGCCATTAAGTTTCCTTTAAAAGAGGCCGGGCGTGGTGGCTCACGCCTGTAATCCCAGCACTTTGGGAGGCCGAGGCGGGCGTATCATGAGGTCAGGAAATTGAGACCATCTTGGCCAACATGGTGAAACCCCGTCTCTACTAAAAATACAAAAATTAGCCGGCCGTGGTAGAGTGCGCCTATAGTCCCAGCTGCTCAGGAAATTGAGGCAGAATTGCTGGACCTGGGGGACGGAGGCTGCAGTGAGCCGAGATGTCAACAGGGCACTCCAGCCTGGATCACAGAGCGAGACTCTGTCTCAAAAAAAAAAAAAAAAAAAAAAAGTTTCCTTTAAAAGAAAAGGAGAGTGGGCTGGGCGCAGTGGCTAACGCCTGTAATCCCAGCACTCTGGGAGGCTGAGGTGGGTGGATCACAAGGTCAGGAGTTCGAGACCAGCCTGGCCAACATAGTGGAACCTCATCTCTACTAAAAATACAAGAATTAACCGGACCATGGTAGCACACGCCCGTAATCCCAGCTACTAGGGAGGCTGAGGCAGGTGAATCACTTGAACCCAGAAGCAGAGGTTGCAGTGAGCCAAGATCACAC